CTCTGCGCATGCGGGGTGAGTGTGTGTGTCTGCACGTGTCCGTGTGTGTGCCGGAGACTCAGCTGCATTCACGCTCTCGCTCTCTCTCTTTTTCTTCCTTCTAGATCTCTCTCCCCCCTCCCCTTTCCTCCCTCTTTTCCTATTCCCTCCCTCCCTGTCTCTCTCTCCTCTGCCCCTCCCTCTCCCTCTCTCTCTTTCTCTCTCTGCCTCTGCCAGTTCTGCCTGGGTGGGGGCTAGCTCCTGCCTCCCTGGGGTGCTGGGAGAACATCTCAGCTTTCTTTTCCTTTCCACCATAACCTCCCCTCCTGGGCGATGCTCCCCAGGGCTTGTAGGCAACTTCTTCTGCCTTAGAAGAGGGGAGTGAGGAGGGAGGACCCCAAGCCTTGTGCCCATGGTGCCATCTGCAGCAAGCGCCTTGGCCCTGTGACATTCATGCCTCTAGCATTCAGCTGCCCCAGCTCCCAGCTCCAATTACCCACTGGCTGCTGGGGGGAGGGTGGGGAGAATGTGCCATGCCCAGCTTGGGGGTGCTCCTCATTCTGCCTTTTTGGCCACTTGGATCTCCTGCAGGGAATAGGAATTCCTGAGGGGAATTGGGGCAGAGGGCATGAGGTTCTGTGGGCTGAGCTCTCAAGCGCGGGTGTGGACACACCACACATCAGTGGGCATGGGGGGTGGATGTGACTCAGAAGGAGACCTCTAGACCCGGGCACCCACCTTAGTGCCTGCCTGGAGCTGGCCTGGGGTGGAGGAGGAGGGCGAGAGAGCAGCAGGTGGGTGAGGTTCTGGGGGAGTGGGGTGGGAAACACAGTCTTTGATGTTAATACTGGGCAGCTGGCCCGAGTCAAGGCTGCTGTTTATGTCTTTCTGTCTCTGACCTGCAGGGGGGAGTTTCCTGTTATATTCTTTTGGGGGGTGGGGAAGATCCTTTGTTTAGCTAGTCTCCCCCTTATGTATATCCCCCACCCCCATGTCCCATTCTCTGGCCTCTAAGGTCCCACAGTGGCTAGGTGATCAGTCTCAGGGGTCACTACCCTTAAGCTCCAGAACCCCACCTCCTGGGGGCCCAATGAGAGCTCACCAAGGGGTGCTGCCTCCCTCCCTCTCCTCTGCCCATGCCTGCCAAGCTGGTGCCCGCAGTCTGTGTGTACCTCTGTGCCATGTCACACCTGCCAGATAGTACCCTCCTCCCTGGCACTAGGATAACAGAGAATTGGGTGGGGCAGCCCTGCTCAATCCATACCTGAGGATAGAAGGCTGGGGGGTGGGGGCGCGTCTGGGAAAGGAGAGAGAGGTGCCAGCCCTAGAGAGGCAGCTGCCACTAAGTGTGGGGGCGTGTGTGGCTGCTGCAGCTCCACCATCACCACAGACTCCCAGGGGCCGTTGGTGTTTGTGGCTGCCCCTGGGAGCCCACGTTGGCACACGGGGCAGCGTCTGCACACAGAGGCGTGTTTGCCTGTGCATGCCCGTGTGTGTTTGGACTACGGTGGCTGCCCTGACCCTTAAGCATCACCCTTCTTGGCTCCCACGGTGTGGACTCAGGGCTGCTTGGGAATGGGTGGTGGGGGAGCAATCTTCCCCCACCCTCTTAGCAGGCAGAGGGGAAGGGGAGAGGGAGGTGTGAACCTACCCACAGCACTATTAATAGCCCACATGCCAGGCCACCAAGAACCAGCTGTCACCGTGGAAACCATTCCTATACCCCCTCCCCCAGCCTCCATGGGGGTGGGACTTAGGCGGATATGAAACACCCCCCACCCATCTTTCTTTGTTACCTTTCTCTCTTTGTCTCCCCTCCCCTTATCTGCCCTCCTTCCTTCCTCATCCCTTCTCTTCCATCCCCAGTCTCTTGCTCCCCTTTCTTCCTCCCCCTTAACCTCGCTGTCATGCCTGACTCTGCCCCCCTCCCTGCCCTGTCGCTTTGTCCCCCCATTTTTCTTCCCCTCTTCCCCCCTTTTACCCTCTCCTCCTCCTCTTTCTCCCTTTTCTCAGTCCCCCTGTGTGTGTGTCTTGCTATGACTAGTGAGGAGTAGGGCTGGGCTTTCTTCAGAGCATTAGGGACAAAGTTCAGAGGCCCCAGAAAGGGCGAAAGCTGGGAGCAGACACTGAGGACAGTTAGTGTTTGCAGTATTTGGGGCTAGATCCTGGGACCAGAGAGCCCCCTCTGGCAGACCCAGAAGTCCTTTGGGGGTGTCCCTCAGATCAGCAGGACTGCAGAGTGGGACAGACCAGCAGTGGGAACCTGGCACAGTGCCCATGGATGCCGCATTGGCCTCTTGTCCCTGTTCCCCCCATCGCAGAAGCACTTAAGCTTAATGAAATGCTTCCCCCTCCGTGGGCACCTTGCCCACGCTGCCACCCGGCAGCTCTTATCTGACAAAGAGGGAGTGGGTGGCCAGGCCAGCCGACAGGTGGGCCTTGCTGTCCTTCTGTCCAGCCCAGACTGAGAACCCCATAGCCCCACCCACTCCACCCCTGGGGGCTGAGCCTCCTGCGCCTCTGCAGGGGAGCTGCCAGGAAGGAGCTTGGGGAATTAAGCTGCACCTAGAGGAGGGGACAGAGACTGCCCTTCAGGGTGGGTATCCCTGCCCCATGCCCCTTCCTCGCAGATCTTTTTCTGCCCACAGCTAACACAGGCTCACATGGTTTGTGCCTGCCTGCGTGCTGGGCCCTCCCCCTCTGCTCTGTGTCACCTCAGAGGCCCAAATACCTCCCTGGAGAGATATTAGGGAGTCTCCAGGGGTTCCAGCCTCTTGCTAGGTGCCAGGTGAGGCTATCCTAGACAGTGAGGGCAACACCTTGCTCCTCTGCCCACTACAGGGGGTAACTGTAGCCTGGGCTGCACCTATTGGCAGCAGGGCACGATTCAGCACAGCACAGAAGTAGGCAGAGAGCAAGCTACCCTCCCCCAGCGGGCACGTGCAAGCCCTTGGCAGTGCCCAGACACATTTGGAGTTAAGGCTGGGCCGGGCAGGGGGAAGGGGAAATAAACATGGTGGCTTAGGTTGGCACTGCCCCAGGTCTGCCCTGTAGCAACTGGTAGTGGCGGGGGTGGGTGGGGGGAGGGGGTCCTCCAGAGCTGTGGCCTGGGGTAGGAGTTGCCCATGCCATGCGGCTGCTGCTGGTGTTCCCTGCCCAGCCTGGCCCACAGCTGCTAATGCCCATTCCTGCGCGCACTGGCCCTCCGCGCCTGCCCCCAGGGCCCGATCCCCAGGGCTGCCCCCTCTCAGCATGCCCACTCCTGTGCCTGCCTCCTCCCCTCCCCGGGGGCGCTTGGGCCTCCGGCTGGCGAGTGGATTTTTCCAGCTTCTGTAAACAAGTGGTGGCAGTGTGCCAGGCGGGCAGGAGACAGGCGGGGGCAGCACCGCAGCCAGGGTGTGCCAAGCACCGAGGCACAGCCTGGGGGGGAGATGGAGACACCCAGACCCAGAGAGAGAGAGAGAGACGTTCAGACGCAGACAGACAGACAAGTGAAGCCTCATGGGGCACAGGTAGAAGTGGAAACAGAAAACAGCCCTCGAGTGTCCAGCCCACACTCCACGAGGGCCCTTGCCCCCTGCCCTGCACTGCTCAGGCCTCAGTGCCCAGCCCCTGGGCATCCCCACCCACTCTTTCTCCTCCCCACCTCCACCCCTTAGGGCTGGCTACGCCATTATAAATTTATAACAGGAATTTCTCCACAAGCCAAGAAAAACTTGACCTACTTTCTTGACGGCTCCCTGGGCTAAGGCTCCCCACTCTCGCCCTCCCCCCGTCTCCTGTCCAGGCCCCAGTGCCCAGTCCTGGTCTGGGGTGGGTGGTATCAGAGGCAGAATGGGCCACCTTTCTGTGTGCCGCCCATGCACTGGGCTCGCCTGGGTACCGAGGCCCTGCCCAAGTGCTGACTTATCTCACCCTTCTCCTCCCATTCTGCTGCTTATCAGCTCCTGGGGGTGGGGCCAGGGGGCCCAGGGGTGAGGTCTCTGGTACAGCAGCCACGTGATGGAGGTTATATGTGGGGAGCTGCACCCTTTGTTCCCCCTCTACATGCCCACACCTGCCTGTGTGCATGCAGACGGTGAGCCACAGGTCTGCGACCCAGGGTCAGAGGTGCTGTGTAGAGGGAGTGGTGGGCCCAGGCTGGCACTGCCGTGGACTCCAAGTAGCAGAACAAGGCTAGCATTACAGCCAAGCTGTGAGTTTCTAATCCCTCAGCCACCTGTGTGCTAATTGTGTGAACTTGAGTGAATGATGAAGCTTTCTGAGACTCAGTTTCCTCATTTGTAACCTTCTGATGCCCCCTTCAGAGAGCACATATTATCTACTCAGTAAACACACATCAATTTCCTTCCCTCTTCCTCTTGCCATCTTGGTCGGTGGCAGCTCAGCTAAACCAACTGGGAAGTCTGGTCTCAGCTAAACCAACTGGGAGGTGGGATTTGAGACCTTGTATGAGAAGCTCTGGAGTCCCTGCTGGACCAGGGTTGGGTGTCATAAATTGGCCAGCGGCAGGGGAGGTCAGCTCACCACAGCTTTCAACGTCTCTCTGTTAAGGCACTGAGATGGGCATTCACGATCCCAGCGTGCTGCCCTGTGCCCAACCCTTCCTTCATTGAAACCCCCATGGCTGTGCTGAACTGCTCATCTCTGGTCTCCTCTCACCCCTATAATACTGAGGAATTTTAGGAAAACTTGACTAGAGGGCTGGGAACAGTAGCTAACATGTAGTAGACACTCATTAGGAGGCAGGCATTTGTTTTAATGTGAGGAGTGAGACGTGTTACCTAGCACATGAGTGATCTCATTCTTTTCCTTCATCCCTCCCCATGTGTGGGCTTAAGATGTGGATCTCCAATGTTGCATGCTGTGCCTGTGATCTAAGGGGTCGACTTGGTGCTCTCCCTGCACCCACTGCCATCTTGTTATAGGCCCATAAAGCCCTAAATGTTGCCACCAAAGGAATCCTACCTACCCTCTCACTGTGGCATACTCTTACCCCTGCCTCTCTCTTCTCTCTGCAGGGATCTCTGTACAGGACAAGACTCCGAAGCTACTCCCCCAGCCCAGAACCCAGGACCCCCTTGCAGACCCAGCTTGCCCCCAGCCCTCCCACCTGCCACTCCCTGGCCCCTCCCACCACCCGCCCCTCCTGGGGTGCAGGGCATGGTGTGAAAGGCCAAGTGCTGAGGGCGGGTACCATGGGTGCTGTGCCCTAGGGCCTGGGTGGCGGGGGGTGGGTGGCTTGTGGGTGTGCCGGGGGGGCCAGTGTGCCCACCCCAGTCTCTTGGCGTGCTGGAAGGCATCCTGGATGGAATTGAAGTGAATGGAACAGAAGCCAAGCAAGGTGGAGTGTGGGTCAGACCCAGAGGAGAACAGGTAATGGGTGTGGCAACTGGGTCGTGATAACTCCTGAGCAACAGGCATGGTCACCTGGCTGGGCAAAAGAGAGCTGAACTGAGCCTTTAAGCACCTCTCGGGGGTGGACTTGAGGCCAGCAAGCCTTCTGCCTACCTTTGTCCAGGAGATAAAGTCAAGTTCAGATGTGGCAAAGAATTAGGTGCTTGCACTGAGAGATGCCCATTTTGAAGTGAGGAGTGATACAGAGCAGAGTAATTACAGGCGCAGGCACATGGTCCCTCCCTTGACAGTGCTGGGCAGTCTCAAAGGCTCCCTGTGTTCCCTCTATCGTTGCTGCCCTCACCTGAGCATCTAGGATCCAAATGGCCTTGCCATTTTCATCCTCTGCCTACCAGCCTACTTACCATCTGACCACAAGTGTGTTGTCTACAAGCTGTGGTTTACATAACATGATATTTCAGGGCACATGCACCAATAACTATTGGTCACAGCCCACACTTATATTTGGAATCTACTGGGAGCCCCATAAGCTCTTCCTTGTTTATGGACAAGGGCGGGCACTGCCATGGGACTCCTCCCAGGAAGTGGAAGTGCATGCCAACCATGAAGGTTTTGCTTACACGTGGGTGAGGCGTCAGCCCTGCACATAAATGTTACCTGTGATCTGCTTTGCCCTTTAGGGGTCCAGAGGGTCTCTGCCTTTCCCATTGGCTCCAAGTGGCACAGAGCTCTGTCCCAGTTGGCATGGTACCCCGGGATCTGGGAACAGCCTGTGCCTATGGCCAGGGAGAGGGTGGGGGTAGGGGTGCTATGGGGAGCGGTGTGGCTGGCGTTGCCTAGGAGATCAGATCCTAAGCCAGGAAGCCAGAGGCCTGGCCAGGCAAAGCCCTAGGGCCCAAGACTGGGTCCCTGGAGGGATGGAGGAAGTTCACGGAGCTGGCAGTTTGGTAGGACACTGGGTAACCCCCATCCCCCAAAGCCTCAACCCAGGAAGAACTCTGAGGATGATCTGGCCTGTTACTGTATGGATGTCACTTGCAGCCCCTGTACTTTGCTGCTCAGACTTCTGTGTGTCTGGGAGAGTCTGCCCCTAAGGCTTAGAGAAAGGCAGGAATGCCAGTTCCCAGTACCCCAGGACTGCAGCCCTTCCCCCATCCTCCTCCCCTCCCCCATGTCCTTGCGCCACCTTGTGGCTGTCCCTGGGACTGCACCCAGAGACTATGACTCTGGTAATTGCTGAAGAGGCCAGCTCAACTGGGGCCTAGGTGGCTTGGGTTCCCCTGCACCCACCCCTCGGGAAGGCAGGAGGGAGACCTGCCCCTCCAGCCTTGTAGGAACCAGACAGGGGTACTCCCCAGGGGGCACAGAACACAGGGCTGTCTGTGGCTGTGACGCTGGCCAAGGTCACTGTGTCAGTGTGTTGGGAGCTGCATCTGGCTCCAGGAGGAGGGGCCCTGCAACATGCCACGAGCAGGGCGGGTGTGGAAGATTATACAATACTTGCATGCATGTAGAAGGCTTATGTAACCTGTGTGTGCTGAGGTTATGTAACATGTATGTGGAGAGCCAGGGAACATACATGTGTAGTGACTGAAGGTTGCTATTAATACCTTGCATAGAGGGGCTCAGGGTTCTTGTCCTGGCTCCAACCCCAGTGCATGGTGTCACCAGGCACAAGTAGGGCCTCAGTTTGCTGCTCTGTTAAATGGAGGCTGTGAACAGAGTAACTTTAGTGTTTTCAGTCACTGTGGTTTATTTAGCATATGTGCATGCCTGGAAATCAAACATGATATTCACACTGGAGGGAGAGGGGTGGCATTAGTAGGTGCCTGTCCAGAGGGTTGCATAATATGTGGGCATATGCTAGAGTCATATAACACATTTGAGAAATGTCCTAAAAATTACATAGATATGTAGGTTGTCGTGCTTATTTACCATACTTGGGTTTATGCTGAAGGCTGCATAGTTATTCACATCCACTGTGTTATGTTACCTGTATATTTGTGTTCTAAAGGTTTCATAGCTTTAAGCATACTCTGAGGATTCTTTCAGCATATTTGTCATTTACTGAAAACTTAAATATATGGATGTCCTGTAGATTCTGGATGCTTAAGGTCTGCAGAGTGTGTGTGTTCGTGTATGTGCATGTTCTAGAACATGCTTGTGCTACAGTCAAGCCCCTTATCTCTCTCCCCTCTAGCTTCCAGATAGCTGGACCCTTCTAAGCATTGTCAGCTGACCTGGGGAGTGGGAGGTAGAATGAGGACACAGATAGAGGGAGTTGGACCTGGGGGATTGTCTAAGCCTCTAGGAAGAGAAGGGGGCTCCAAAGATGGTTCTGTGATTCTGCCCACTTTGCCCCCATCCAGTGCCAGGTCACCAGATGGAAAGCGAAAAAGAAAGAACGGCCAATGTTCCCTGAAAACCAGCATGTCAGGTGAGCCTGGCTACATGTGTCCATTCTCCCTGCCCCCAAGCCCACCAAACCAGGCAAGGCCTGCTCTGGGCCTGGGCATATACTGGTAGCTCCTTACTCCATGGGGAGAGCCTCCTAGAGGACTTGGGGTGAACTTATCTGGGGGTGAGAGGGGTGATGTGGGGTGTACCCCACCTTCAAGGATGGATTAGGTCAGGAAGGGCCTCTTCTTTTCTCCCATAACCCCTTTACCCAAGGCCCCCAGAATCAGGGGCTGAGCTGAAATTCCAAGGGGCTGTGTTTTCCTGAGATGGGCTGGGGACATTTGTTTTTCCCTCTCCTCTATCCTCTGCCCTTTAGATACAGCAAGAAAAAAAAAAAGCCCTGAGTAGACAGTGAGAAGAACTGAGATACTCTATATACTTAGGGAAGGGATGGACAGGATTACCTTCTAATGTATGTCTAGGATTCTACCTGGAGACAAAGAACCCTCCATGGAAGCTGGGCTAGCAGGTGGGCCAGAAATAAAAAGTTAGTGGATGGGGAACGTATAGGAGCCTCTCTGCTGGGGCTCCAAGCCATGCCTGCCTGCATCCTTTCCTTCTTCCCAGGGTATATCCCTAGTTACCTGGACAAAGACGAGCAGTGTGTCGTGTGTGGGGACAAGGCAACTGGTTATCACTACCGCTGTATCACTTGTGAGGGCTGCAAGGTATGGAAGTGATCTCCAGCCACTCTCCCCACCCCCCAGAGCCCTCTTCTCACTTTCTTTAAGTCCCTCAGCACTGACACAACAGACAAGCTCTATAAACATGTAGTCTAAAGCCCACCTGTTACACCATCATTTCTCTTCTCTCATTCATTCATTCATTCATTTGCTCCTTCATAATCCCTGCTTTGCACTCGATAAATGTCAGCTGTCATCCATACATTCAGCCTATTAGGTGCGAGAGGTGCAGGACATACTCTGTCCTCAAGCTGCTCACAGCCTACCAGAGAGAGAAAGACTTGAAACAGACATCAATGGTTTTCAAAATGTGGTTCTTGGACCACCTGCAGTACTCATTAAAATGCAGACTCCCAGGCTTCATCCCACCCCTGTTTGCTCAGAACCATTTTGTGGTGGAGCCCAGGAATCTGCCTTTTAACAGGCTCCCCAGGTAATTTTTTTTGAGCATATTGTGGGGGTACAAATATTTAGGTTACATATATTGCCTTTGCCCCAAGCATGTCCATCCCTCAGATGGTGTGCACTGTACCCATTAGGTGTGAATATACCCATCCCCTCCTCCCCCCTCCCACCTGCCTGACACCCGATGGATGTTATTACTATAAGTGTTGATCCCCTGGTATTTCCAGAGTGCCTGAAAGTGTGAGAGCCAGTGCTGTGGGGCATGGCAGGCGCATGGAGGAGACGAGGATGGCAGGCTCCTCCTGGGCAGAAGGGACAAGGTCATAGACTTGGGGAAGGCTAATTAGAATTCACTTTGGTCATTTCAGCCTGCGTGGCTTTTCCAGGATCACCTCCTGAAAATGTGAGACCTCCCAAGAAATAATCATTTGAAAACATGTTGTTAAGGGCTTGAAGTTTTTCTCGTAGTGTCAACCAAACCAAGACCACGAGGGATTTAAAGCTTGGTAGCAGTGATCCTGGAAGCGGTACAAGCAGTTTAACATAGAGAGGATCTTTACCCCTGAGGACATCTGAGTCCCCAGGGAGCATCCTAAAAAGACAGAGAAGCCTTGGCCCCACCCCTACAGAGTTTCATTTTGTAGTTTTGGAGTGAGGCCCAGAAATCTGTATCTTTTGTAAGTGACCTAGATGATTTTAATGCACCCCCAGAATCTGAGAGCTCAGACCTTGGGGTTCCCTACCTGAGGCCCAGTTCTGGCTCCGCTGCCCACTTGGCCATGTGACTTTGGGCAAATTGCTTCTCTCTCCAAGCTTCAGTTTCTCAGTCTGCAAAATGGGGACAGTAGCAGTTCCTACCTTATAGGGTTGCCCTGAGGGTTCAATGTGATGCCGCATGAAAGAGAAGGCTTATCTTTACTAAGTGCCTGGCATGGAGTAAGCACTCAGTAAATATTAGCTCTTCATTATGGTGACCATCTTGATTCTTGAGGTTTTTCGTTTAAAGCAAAGGCTAATCCCAGTCTATGGAATTGAAATCTTTCATTTCAGATTACTAGAGTTCATACCCAATGCCTTTTCTTGACTTTTTTGGTCCATCTATTTCATGAATTCTACCTGCATGGGCATTGGGCATCATTTAAGAGAGTGGTTTTTGGGTCAGTGCTGTTTTTAGAGTCCTTTAACAAGATGGAAAATAAGGTATTACTTGGGTTTGGAAAGCTGCTATTCCTTTAGGCATCATAGCACCTCACACCATCCCAGGCCCAAAGCCCACCTGGCCATCATTCCTACCTCTGCCACCTCCACTCCCCAGGCACCCTACCCCTCAGCAGCGTGGGAGCAAAGGGCACACTTTTCTGGGGTCATTTGGCCTGGCAGAACCCAGTGATCCCAGGCTGGCTGTGACAAGAGGATGCCAGGTTCCCTCACTGATCTTGCCTTCCTCACAACCGCCCCCCCATGAACCACCCTATTGGTTCAGGAAGGGGAAGTCATGATCACAAAGTGCTCCCCCCACCTCAGGGCTTCTTTCGCCGCACAATCCAGAAGAACCTCCATCCCACCTATTCCTGCAAGTATGACAGCTGCTGTGTCATCGACAAGATCACCCGCAATCAGTGCCAGCTGTGCCGCTTCAAGAAGTGCATTGCTGTCGGCATGGCCATGGACTGTAAGGGGCCCGGGTGGGGGGAGTGGAGCCAGGGGGGTGGGGGTGGCAGCTCCCTTCCAGGGTACCCTCAGGGCCCACAGGGCAGAGTGACAGTCCAATCCAGGTCAGGCTGATGGCAGAATGTTCAGAGTCTTGGGCCCTGCATCCCTCAGCCCTGGGAAAAAGGAAACGATTCCTCTCTGGGCCCTGCGCATAGGCCCCCATGCCTTTCACCATGTGAGGGCCTCAGAGAGGGAGTTGTTGGATAGAAGGAACTCCCCGGGCACCCATCCTAGCACGTTGTTCCTGACTAGCAGGGAAGGTACCCCTCTTCTGGATGAGAGAGGGCATCTTTCATTAGCTAGGGATTATGTGGCAGGATCTTCTAGTAACTGCTATACCATAACCCCTTAGGCCAGAACATGATGTTCATCTGGAGCAGCCCAAATTGTCGTTGACATGGTCCCAGGGATTAATCATGATCTGAGTTGTGCCACCCAACTGCTAGGTGATTTAGGAAATCACTTAACCTGTCATGGTCCTCAGTTTCCCCAACCTGTACACGAGGGAGAGTGGATTCTGAAAGGATTGTGGAGAGGGTGGAGGGTGCTATGCAGAGGACCTGGTGCATCTGTGTTGACAGTGGTTCTAGATGACTCTAAGCGGGTGGCCAAGCGCAAGCTGATCGAGCAGAACCGGGAGAGGCGGCGAAAGGAAGAGATGATTCGATCACTGCAGCAGAGACCAGAGCCCACTCCCGAAGAGTGGGATCTGATCCACGTTGCCACGGAGGCCCATCGCAGCACCAATGCCCAGGGCAGCCACTGGAAGCAGAGGCGGAAATTCCTGGTAAGGAGAAAGGGGCGTGGGGAGAGCGGCAGCCAAGTGGCAGGGAGAGCAGAGTGTTGCCTCCTCCAGGAAGCCTTCTTAGTTTATCTGACTCAAAACTAACACTCTTCACATGTTGGCAGTCCTGATTCTGTATACTTGTGTATGTGTCCTTGCTCTCTGTGTCCTGCCTATTCCATCCGATTAGGAGCTCCGTGAGGATAGGGCATTGCCTTCCTCATCGAATTTCCAGTGAGCAGGGTTGATCTTCCTCTTTTTCCTGTGTATAGTTACTAGGGTTGCAGGAGGGTAAGGACACAGTCATTTAACAATATTTCAGGGCACCTGCTGGGCACCAGGCATTGTGTTAGGCCCTGGCAAAACTGGTTGCCAGGTTTTTCCAGGTCAGTTTGTGGAGAAATGGACAGTTGGTTGTATGTGGTGGGGCTCCTGGTTCCTGGTGGAGCATGTCATGGCGTAGGTCGGTGCACTGTTAAGAGCATGGTCTCCGATACCAAGCAGATATGTGTGTAACAGTCAGGAGTCAGACTGCCTGGGTTCAAACCCTGGTTCTGCTACTTACTAGTCAAGTGACTTTGACCTTGTTACTTAGCTGCGGTACCTGTGAAATGGTGGTAATCATAGTATCTTCTCTTTAGGGTAGTAGTGAGGATGAAATGAGATAAGATATGTAAAACATGTAGCCTAATGCCTGATCACGTTAAGTATTTGGCAGTTGTAGCTGCTGTTGTCATTACCATTGTTGTTACTGCACTGGTCTATCCTCTGCGCCAAGGTGAAGGGAAAGCCTTAGGGCTGGGACTCCATTACTAGTGGCCCCTCTTCCCGAGGCTGCCTTGGAGCTCCCCCTGGTGGGCAGGCAGTCCCAGCGAGAGGGCGAAAAGGGTCTGCACCCCAGCTAACCGCCCCCCTCCCTCTAGCCGGATGACATTGGCCAGTCACCCATCGTCTCCATGCCGGACGGAGACAAGGTGGACCTAGAGGCCTTCAGCGAGTTTACCAAGATCATCACCCCGGCCATCACCCGTGTGGTGGACTTTGCCAAAAAACTGCCCATGTTCTCCGAGGTGAGTGGCAGATGGGAGGAGAGACGCAGTGCTGTGCTGGAGGGAAACCTGGGGCTGCTCCCATCTGAGGTCCTCTGGACAGGGAACAGTTCCTGTAGATCAGCACACGCCCAGCACACGTGCATGCACGCGCGTGCGCGCGCGCACACACACACACACACACACACACACACGGCTCGCTGATCTGAGGAACTGACTGGCTCCAGGTACCCATCTCCCCAGCCCTTCGACCCTCTAGTCTACATGGTCATCTCAACTCTAGGCAGCCTGGATGTCCTCATTTTACCCAGCACTAGCTCTGCAGACAGGCAGCCCTACTAACCATGTAATCTTGCCCAAGTGATCTAAATCCCCTGTACCTCAGCTTCTCATCTGGAGTGGGCTGAGGATCAGGATCAGACCTAACTCACAGGCATACTTGTGAGGTTTAAAGACATAGGGTGTGCATGTGGCCCAGCACACGGTCAACTGTTTGGAGTCCATGTTTCTGGCTGAGGCCAGTAGTGGCCTTGCACCTCCCAGAGGACACCCACAGGGGAGACTCAGGGACATAGGGAGGGGTGTGCTGAGTGCTCCTGTGGCCCTGCCACTCCGCAGCTGCCTTGCGAAGACCAGATCATCCTCCTGAAGGGGTGCTGCATGGAGATCATGTCCCTGCGGGCGGCTGTCCGCTATGACCCCGAGAGCGACACCCTGACACTGAGTGGGGAGATGGCCGTCAAGCGGGAGCAGCTCAAGAATGGTGGCCTGGGTGTAGTCTCTGACGCCATCTTTGAACTGGGCAAGTCACTCTCTGCCTTTAACCTGGATGACACGGAAGTGGCTCTGCTGCAGGCTGTGCTGCTAATGTCAACAGGTACCTACTGAGTGGCCGGGAGGGCTCAGAAGCTTCCAGGGCCCCCAGAACTTGGCTGGACCCTGGGCCTGTTGCTCTGTTCCTCCCTTAATCTTATGGGCTCTCTCAGCTTCCTATGGGAGCTTCCCTGCCCAGCCACCCTCCCCCCAGGCTTCCTCCCTGTCATCCACCCCCAACTCTACTCCCAGGCCCATCTCACCCCCAGTCCCTGCTCTGCTCCTTGTCCTGTCTTTGCCTGATTCTTTCTCTGTCACTCCCATTCCCCTTCATTCCCACACACCTTCTATCCTCAGCCCTCCTGGGTCCTGCCTCTTGTCAACCAGTCCCTACTCCCATGCCTACTCCACTTCTCTCTCCCCAGCTGCCTCTCAGTCCCTCCGGTTATGTGTCCCTGCACACGCCCAGCCCCCACGGCCCCACTCTGCAGCCACTCACCCCTCTCGCCCTCCCTTCCCCACAGACCGCTCGGGCCTGCTGTGTGTGGACAAGATCGAGAAGAGTCAGGAGGCGTACCTGCTGGCGTTTGAGCACTACGTCAACCACCGCAAACACAACATTCCGCACTTCTGGCCCAAGCTGCTGATGAAGGTGACTGACCTCCGCATGATCGGGGCCTGCCACGCCAGCCGCTTCCTCCACATGAAAGTCGAGTGCCCCACCGAACTCTTCCCCCCACTCTTCCTCGAGGTCTTTGAGGATCAGGAAGTCTAAAGCCTCAGGCGGCCAGAGGGTGTGCGGAGCTGGTGGGGAGGAGCCTGGAGAGAAGGGGCCGAGCTGGGGGCTGAGGGAGACCCCCCACCTCTTCTCTCCTTCCTCTCACCCTCGGATAGATTCAGCTCCCACACACACACCCGCACTGCCCAGGTCCCTCCTCAGCACCTCCAGCCCTGGGACAGGGCAAACAAATGAACTTGCTATGAAAAGGACAGTGTGGGAGGCTGGGGGGCCCCGTCCTCTCAGAAGGTAGGGGAAGGGAGGGAGAACCGAGAGGGACAAGCCATCTTGACCATAGTAGGGGAAGGAGGAATGCGGGATGGGGGAAGATGCCCCCGACTCAGCCCCTACACACATAGGAGAGAGAGCCCCCCACCCAGCTCCTTGGCCTCGGTTTCCCCTCTAGGCTGGGGCCTCTCTACTTCCCCAGATGCCTGGGTGCAAAGAACGGCTTGGCTTGGCTCCTCCCTTGGAGGTTAAAAATTATAGTCATTCTAACTGCACTTTGGAAACCAAGCAAGGGGAAAAGATAAATGAAGAAACACTAGACAGAGAGAAAAAGACGAAAAAGAGAGAGTGAGCGATAGAGAGAGAGAGAGATGATATTAAATTATTAACTGAGGCTGGCCAGAGGGGAGGGACCCCCCCCTTACCACCCCATGCACTTTGAGAGCTGCCCCTCCTCCCCCCACATCAGAGAAATGCCCCACACACCAGATCCCCAAGGGTAGGGCTGCCGATCAGAGCTGTGAGAACACAACAGGGTCCTGGCCACCCCCTTGCCTTGCCCGCCCTCTGTGCCCGTCGGCACCCCCGCCCCAGTACGTCCTCTGCTCTCTGCCGCTCGTGCCCGCTGAGTTCCATCTACCTCTCATGCTGGATGCCAGCTGGCCCCTCACCAGCCTGCCCTGCTGCCCGCACAGCTACCCTTTCAAGTGCCCAGCCCCAGGGGCCTCTCCCTGTCCCCCTCCTCCTTCCCCACCTTGGCAGCCACACAGGAAAAACTGTGGCTCCGGCTCCTACCCACCTCATATCCTGCAGTATTAGCTACAATCCAGATGCTGCTGCGTTGGGGGGGTTTGGGAGGCTGTGCGTGAGTGTCCCCCAGAGCCTCACCCCTTTAGGTCTCTGTTTCCCTGTTTCCTGTCTTCTGGGCTCTCTCTAACCTCTGCCCTCCTTCCCAACTCCCACTCAATGCACTAACCCAGACTCTGGGCGGGCAGGCACCAGATTGGGGGTGTTTAGATAAATGGCACTTAGTTGGGGCCCTGGGCAAAGGTGTGGTTGGTGCTCCTTCTTTTATCTTTCAAGCTCTTTAGGCCCACCACCCCTCTGCCCCTGGGACCTTCCCCCTTCTTTTCTCTAATTCAGGGACTTTGGCTTGAGCCTCCTCCCACCCTCCTGGTGGGGAGTGCTCTGTTGGTCTGCACTTGGGTGAGCTGCCCTCCTCCTCCTCGCTTTGGCTGCCCCCTCCTGCTTCTCAAGGGAGGGGGGAAAGGAGGGGGAGGGACAGAGCAGACCAGAGTGCCCTGGGCTCAGGGCTGCATGTCGGCAGGGATGGATGGGTGGACATAGATGCCCCCGGAAGCCATGGGGAATGGGGCAGGGGGCGGGGGGAGGGGTGCCAGGGCTTCCCGCGCTTTGCACTATTGGGGCAAAAATGTCTTAAGCAGTGGGGAGCCTGCCACCCCACCCTGACCGTCGGCCTGCCACAGCCCCCTACACACACAGACACACACACACACATACACACGCAGGCACACACACATGGGAAGGCAGTACTATGCTGCCCATTAGGGCAACATCCTTCCCACCCTGTTTGAGCGTTCCAACAGGGATGGAGGGCCTGGAGGAGCATCCACTGTCACCTGTGCATGTGCCTGTCCCACCCTGCTCTGGGGCCCTGGGCTGCCTGAGCTGTCTTTGTCTGACTATCTTCTCTCTCTCTCCTGGGGTACTGATTCCTGTGTTACTCCAGTCCCATGGGTAGGCCCTCCCGTACCTTCCTCCCACACCTGGGGGCCCAGTGGAATTCCTGACCTGTCTACTGTCTCCCCCATTCCTCTCCCCATCTCTACCCTTCCATCCCCATCCTCAGCCATGGACACGGTGTAGAAAAAGGCCTTGAAGAGCCTTGGCCTCTTACAGGCACCTGGGACTCCTCCCACCCTCCCCAATCATATGAGCTGTGATTCCCCTCCCCCTTCCCCTCCCTCTTGGTGATGTGGGTTGTATGTGTGTGTTTTCTGCGTGAATGTGTGAGTGAGTATACGTGGTAGGGGAGGAGCCAGGGAGACTCAGGAGTGCCACGCACCTGCTCTAGAGAGGCAGCTGTCCCGTCCCTGCAGAAGTAGGGGACAGGGCCCTCTCCTGGGGGCCATTGGTGCTAATGAGGGGGATGGCCTTGATGTGGGTGCTTAGCATGCCTCCCCCACTATTGGCCCGGGGCACTAGGGCAGGCAGGGTGGGGCAGCAGGTGCAGTATTGGTGGGAGGACAGGTTGCTGGGAATAGGATGAGGGGGCCAGGCCAGGACAAGGGGGTGCCAGAGCCATGACCACTACCCCACCCCCACCACCCGCCTCTCCATCTCAGTATTCCCCCTCCCATCACTCATAACACACATACCTCATCCAGCCTCCTCCCTGCTCAGACTTGGGGAGGGTGGGGGAGGAGCCCCACCCCTTCCCCTGGTGGCGGGTCTGCAGGGCTGGGAGACGGCAGGGTGTGTGACAGAGACACCGTCCATAAGGGGGACAATATCTCCTGCCCTGGGAACTCCTGGGTGGGGGGAGGGGGACACTGCCCAGAGGCGCTACTGAATGTAAGAAGCTGGTGCTGGGGTAGGAGCAGGGGGTTGTGGCCAGAAACAGGGAAGGAGGTAGGTCCCTACCCCAGGGAGGGGTGAGACCTGTAGGGGTGACTCGGAGGGGCTCCTACTCCTGCCCCACGTTGACAATCAGTATGTCTGTTATGTGCGATTTTTCACCCCGTTGTGTTTTGGGTCAGGATTTTAAAGAAAGATATTTTTATGGTAATTGTTGCTCGTCTATTTTACTATATATTTATGTAATAAATATATGATGAAAATAACCCCCTTTGGCACCCCCCCTTAGACTTGTGTGCTGTTTCCCTATATCCTCCCATCTGCTGGCAGAGTACCCGCCCCACAAACTGACCAGATGGAGAGGTGCCCCCCCCAGCCTTGGCAGTATTTCCACCCCACCCCCCAAACGAGCACACACCACAGAAGCCAGCTCAGCTGTGAACTATTGGATTTGAGACAGGAACAGAACAAATCAGGGGGCTAGAGGAGGGTGGGAGAGAGAGAGAGAGTGGTTTAAATAGGGGAGGATGGGAAGTTCAGTGGTGGGGGAGGGAGGCAGGTATTTACAAGAAGGCTCAGGGGGCCAGAGGCTCATCTTGGAATATTTTATAACAATATAAATAAGATTCTGGTTTGCTTTTCCTTTTCGTCTCGTAAAGGAGAGAGAAGTGCAGAGTTCGATTCTGTACAAGGGGGCAGCGGCAGAAGGCCGGCCGGGCGGGTCACTGGGCGTCCACCCGGAAGGACAGCAGCTTCTCGGAATGCATGTTGTTCAGGGTCCGCAGGTCCGGCAGCTTGAGCAGCAGCTTGGTGAAGCGGGAAGTCTCCAAGGGCCGGTTCTTCAGCACCAGAGCCCGAAGAGCCCGCAGCAGCGTCTCCTGGAGCTGCTCCACCGAAGCGGAATTCTCCATGCCCGAGCGGTCTGTGGGGAAGACGACAGCAGTGAGGCAGGCTCCCTGAGCTCCTCTGACGAGGAACCGGAGGCCTGCGAGGACCCGGCAGCCAATGCAGCCTCTCCCTGAAGACCCTCCAAGGGCCGACAGGGACGGAGAAGGAGCGCAATACCTTCTCCCAGGCCTCTGCCCCGAGAGCAGGAGGGGCCTGAATGCTGGGAGCGTGGGCGCAGCAGGGCTGGCCACCTCCCACCCCATCAGACCACCCTCCTCCCCTGAACAGGCCAAGTTATGTTCAGGCTCCCTTGCTTTTTGCTCTGTAGTTCCCTCTGCCTGGCAACATCTTACTTGTCCCTTTGAGGCCCCGCTCAAGTGTCACCTCCTTCCCCAGCTCCCCCAGGCAGAAATAGTTGTCTGTGCTTCCTTGGTTCATGCTTCTACTGTGACACTTATCTCACTGTTTTATAATTAGTCGGGCATGAGTCTGTTTCCCAAGCTAGACTGTGTCTGAATCATGTCTGTATCCCCAGTGCCCGGTGCAGGGCCTGGCATAGAGTAGGTACTCCATAAAAGGTGTGTTGAATTGAACTGCGTCTGCCTCCTCCCCCCCCTCCCCCCCCCGGGTCAGGCAAGAGCTTGACCTACCTGCAGAGACGAGCACCACCGCCGTGAAGAGGCCCAGCTCCTCCTCGGTAAGCGCCAGGGAGTTGAGCTTCTCACTGAAGTCAAACATGGCATTGAGCAGGTCTCCCATGCCCATGGCGCCGAGCTCCTGCAGGCTGTAGGTGGTGCGGCTCAGGAACATCACTGTCTGGTCCTTCACGTTGAACAACGATGCAAATCGCACCATCAGCACCTAAAGTGGGGGAAACAGTCATCTTGGGTGGGGTGGGAGGAGCACTTGCCCAATCGCCCCTACAGTTGCCAAAGCTTTACTGGTGCTGCCTTAGCTTTCTGAGTAGATGGAAATTGTTTCTGAAGGGACAATAAGGGGGCCCAGGTGGAAGGAGGGGCAGCATCCCATTGGCTCTGGAATGCAACAGGCCTGAGTCTGAGTCTGTCACTACCTGTGACTCTGGGCGAGGCACCTCACCAAAGTTAATCTGCTCAGGTGTAGAACTGGGCAGCAATGTACCCTAAGGTGGTGTTTTAATGTAGCGGGTTATGATTAGACTCCAGCCTGAGATGACAGTCTAGCCATCCAGCGACAGAGTGGGAAGGGCTCTGCCCCTTCCATCAGTCAGAGGCTGTAAGAACAAAGAAACTGGGGTTCCAAAGCTTTTCAGAGCCCCTGCCCACTCTAGACACCAAGCCTTCCTGCTGGATCCTTCCTAAGGTTAAGAGCATGGAGCATAAAGGGTCACTCACCTCAAAGGTGCCAGCCTTAAGCAGGGTGACTTGGTCATGCTGAGAAAGGTCACAGAAGCCGGGGATGTGCTTGGCAAACTCTACCACCTCCCGCACAGCAGGCGTGAAGCTCATGGAAAAATCCTCCCAGATCTCCTGCACAGTTCGCCCACTGCGTCCGTGTGGGTACATATTCATGGGACATGCCTGGGGGAAGAAGGGATATAGGGAGGGAAGTGTGAGCCAGGCTGGCTTGGATGGGTTCTCCTGTTAGGACTGGGCCCCAGATTCTGCCTGGACTATGGGCTATGGCCCTGGGGGATGGGTGTTGTAGGTAAAGTAGCAATCAGGTGCCAGGTGGAGATTAGGGACCCCCAGGCAGAGCCCAGACTGCAGGACAAGACATCTTCTGAAAAGAGGATATCTCCACACTTAGCCTCTAGGAACACCCAGCTGCCCTATGCGAAGTTCATCCTTCCAAGCCCCCTGACCTCCTCTCCCATGCCCTTACCAGCAGAACATTCTTGGAGTTGCCCTGCCGTGGACTGTTGACAGGTGCCTCGCTTTCTGGGGCTGCATACACATGGGTAGGGCATAGACGATGCCCGTTGCTGTTGGACTGGTGACAGCTGTGGTGGCCAGGGCCAGGGGGCCAGGTGGGAGGGTAGGTGGAGGGGGCCTGGTGTAGACCATTTAGTGCTTCATTATGACGCTGGGCAGCCAAAGTGTTGTTGTCATTGGGGGCAGGTGGGCAGCCCTGATTCTCCCAGCGATGTGGAGTGGTGGCTGGAGGGCTACCGGATGCATGGTTAGCATTGAAGTTGCCAGGTGAGGTGCCCAGCTTGTCATGGGCATAGGTGAAGATCTCTCGATGGGCCCGGGCCACCTGGGATATCACATCCTCCACTGTGGGCTCAGGGCTTGGGGATCTGGGAGGCGTCAGCTGTTGTGGGAACTGAGAGAAGCCCACCAAGGGTGAGGGGACTGGAGCTGGGGGTGGCGAGGGGCCCATGGGGCCTGGGGTGGGGTGCTGGGTGGGTGAGGTCTCCAGTGGGCACTGGCTGCTCAGCTGGTTGTTGGCCAGGTTCATGGCGCTCTGCATCTCAGCCAGCATCCGCTGCTTCTCTCGTTTGGGGATGCGCCCAAAACGCACAGCTGTGACAGGATGAGAGCAGTGTCAGGAAGTTCTCATACACATGCTTCTCTTCCTTCCTTCCTCCCTCCTGAAAGGGCAAGGCCCTGAAAGCCTGGGGTTCCACAACGAAACTAAAACCAGCACGGCCATGCCTAACAAGGGGGTTTCCCAAGTAGGGACTGCAGGAAGGAGGTGAACAGAGGACCAATGGGAAAGAAGTGTGTGTTGACCCAAGAGGACAAAGTATGGACATCCCCCATGCAAAGGAGATTCATTCACAGTATGATGTGTCTGAGTCTGGGACTATTTTTTAAGGCAGGGATTAATTCAGAAACTCTTGAAGGGAATGGAAGGGAAGGATGTGGGGATGCTGGGATGCTGCCTCACCATCTCGTGACATGCCCACGGAGAGACACTTCTTGAAGCGACACTGCTGGCAGCGGTTGCGATTGATGCGGACGATGGAGCAGTTCTCGTTTTTCAGACACCTTTTGTACTGGATGTTCTGCTGGATGCTCCGACGGAAAAAGCCCTGGAGAGCAAGGGCAGCTAGTGAGCACCTCCAGTTCGGCTGGGCCTATGTGTCCTGGGGTAGGGGGTCATCTGCCCCTGCCCTTACCCCCACGCTGCCTCACCTTGCAGCCCTCACAGGCGTGCACGCCATAGTGGAAGCCTGAGGCAACGTCCCCACACACTTTGCACAGCAGCACCATGCCGTTCAGCTCTGTGGGGGGAGACAGGCAGCAGGTGAACAGGAGAGAACAGGCTGAGTGGCCAGAGGTGTGGAGGCTTTCTGGGCTGGAGTTTCTGGGAGGGAAAAGCTAAGGAGGAGCTCTGGTATCTAGGGGCACCGGAGTGGCCAGACTGGACTGGATGGGGGCTGGTGCAACTCTAGAGGTCCCTGAGGCCAGGATAGGCCTTGGCAGTAACTCTGTCACATGAAAACTCACTCCCAACCTAGCCCTGGCCTGCTTCCCTTCCCCCAAATCAGCTGTAAATTTACTCACTGGTGATGTTGCTGGTGCTTTTGCTGGGGGACACTCGGCTGCTGTCCTCCATGGCCACTTGTAGGCTCCCTGGGGGGCTCCCATTATAGAAGGAGGAGGACGACGACGAAGATGAGGAAGAAGAAGGGGAGCCATCGTCACTCAGGCTGGATGGAATGCTCCCAAAGGAGCGAGCTGGGTCTTGGGTAAGGGAGCCAGTGGGCGATGGTGGGAAGTAGGTGGGGCAGCCTTGGGTTAGGGACTGGAAGCTGCCATTGGAGCTGTCACTGTAGAGGGACTCAGGGCTGGTGCGGCTTGGGGAGGAGCCGCTGGAGCCAATGTAGGTGATGACACCACCTGGTGGGAGAACAAAAGGGAAGGGGGTGTCATTCACCAAGTGTCTGGACCCAGGGGACCACCATGCTCATCCTCCACTTGTTTCCCAAAAATACCACTGGTTACACAGAAGTTAACCATGTGGAACCCCTAATCTTGGAGTTAATAAACAACTCCCCAACACATACTAGATGTCGCATGGCCAACCAACACCCATGACTCTTTGCAGAATACATTCAGAGTCTGGTTTAAGCGTGAGGCATGACCACTGTGGGCATCTCACACACACCTGTCCCCCTTCCCTATACACCTCCCTTAGGAATACTGACTGTAGTTAACTTACTTAGTAGTTAACTGAGTTGTGAGTGGCAGAACTGGGGATGAGATGAGCAGCTGAGCATGTCACAGTGCCCAGTGCTCCAAAAAACCCCCAAACCAGGCCGGGCGCGGTGGCTCATGCCTGTAATCCTGGTTCTCTGGGAGGCCAAGGCGGGCGGATCGTTTGAGCTCAGGAGTTCGAAACCAACCTGAGCAACAGCAAGACCCCGTCTCTACTATAAATAGAGAGAAATTAATTGGCCAACTAATATA